CACTTGATGCCGGTCGAAAGGGCGGGCCAGGCGTTGCGCCTCAGACTTCTTCACCACCTGCGATCCTGAAGCCTAGGCAGGTCGTTTTCAACATGCGGTTTCCGCCTTAGCGCCAAGCGCATTCATACTACCACACTGCAGGAGCTTCACGGATGGAGGGCGGGTCGTCTTTGATGTGGCTCTCGCCTTAGCGTTGCGCGCATCCGCTTTGGAACATGAATGCGCGAATCAGATCGTTCTCAAAATTTGGTTCCCGCCATAGCGCCGCGCGCATTCGCCTTAACAACTGGTAAAAACTTCACACGGATGGAGGGCGGGTCGTTTTCAAAATGTGGTTTTCGCCCTGTGCCGCGCACGCTCGTCTTGGAACATGTAAAAGTTTGACGGATGGAGGGCGGTTCATTTGTCAAAATGAGCACATCCGTCTTAAGAGTCCCACCAGCCCTTTAGGGCGTAGGTGGTCTAGAGCGTTTCCTCTGCCAACCCCCCTTCTTTCCCTTCGGGGAGGGGTTTACCCCTCCCCTTACCCCTCCCCACTGACCTGGACGAGGCGTCCCGCGAGGTGTCAGGGACGCCCAAGATGGCTCAAGACGGCTCCAAGAGCGAAAAAGCGAGAAAGCACAAAACATTGATTTTCCTTAGGTTTTGGAAGGATTTTGGCCTCTTGGGGGGGCCCAAGAGGCGCTTCGAGGCACTCTAGAGGGGCAACCCTAATTGGAGCTCCCCCCTTCTTTGATAGATCTCCTCCAAGATGGCCCCAAGAGCGCCCCGAAGGCTCCCAAGAGCGCCCCAAGAGCGCCCCAAGAGGGCCCCAAGAGACCCCAAGAGGCCCCCAAGAAGCCTCTAAGAGGCTGCCAAGAGACCCCCAAGAGGCCCCAAGAGAGTTCAAGATGGCCCAAGACGGCTCCAAGAGCGAAAAGGCGAGAAAGCAAAAAACATTGATTTTCCTTAGGTTTTGGAAGGATTTTGGCCTCTTGGGGGGCCCAAGAGGCGACTCGAGGCACTCTAGAGGGGCAACGCTAATTGGGGACCCCCTCTTCTTTGATCGATCTCCTCCAAGATGGCCCCAAGAGCGCCCCGAAGGCTCCCAAGAGCGCCCCAAGAGCGCCCCAAGAGCGCCCCAAGAGGCCCCAAGAGGCGCCCAAGAGGCCTCCAAAAGGCTCCCAAGAGACCTCCAAGAGGCCCAAGAGGCTCCCAAGACGGCCCAAGACGGCTCCAAGAGCGAAAAGGCGAGAAAACACAAAACATTGATTTTACCTAGGTTTTGGAAAGATTTTGGCCTCAAGAAGGGCCCAAGAAGCGATTCGAGGCACTCTAGAGGGGCAGCGCTAATTGAGGACCCCCCCTTCTTTGATAGATCTCCTCCAAGATGGCCCCAAGAGCGCCTCGAAAGCTCCCAAGAGCGCCCCAAGAGCGCCCCAAGAGAGCCCCAAGAGGCCCCAAGAGGCCCCCAAGAGGCCTCCAAGAGGCCCCCAAGAGACCCCCAAGAGGCCACAAGAGGCTCCCCGAGATACGCAAGAGGCCCCCGGGACCGCCAAGAGGCTCCAAAGACGGCCCAAGAGGCCCCCAAGCTCGCCATTGTCCTCCTCCTCCTCCTCTTTTTCTTCCTCCTCCCTCCTCCCCCTCCCCCTCCTCCTCCTCCTCCTCCTCCTCCTCCTCCTTTTCCTTTTCCTCCTTCTCGTCCTCCTCGTCCTCGCAGTCCTCCATCTCCTCCTCCTTATCTTCCTCCTCCTCCTCCTCCTCCTGCTCCTCCTCCTGCTCCTCCTCCTGCTCCTCCTCTTCCTCCTCCTACTCCGACGACGACGGCTCCTCCTACATCCTCCCCCTCTTGGGGTATATGGCGGCTCACCCCGCCCTCTGTTCTTCTGCATGCTCCCCCGCTTCCCTCATAACCTCCACTCCCCTGGGACTCATTTCTGGACGGGCTGGTGGGGATACGCGAAGCGTCTAGAATTTACGACAGTTTCAAGGATGCTCACGGCTAGCGTACCAGAACTGATGTTTTTTGGCACGGTGCCCGACTGTCAGAGCACAACAGTTACGATGGTTCGTGGTGTTGAAGTCCCAGGAACGGCGTTATGGCACCGCTACCTCCTCCTCCCTCCTCCTCCTCCTCCTCCTCCTCCTCCTCCTCCTCCTCCTCCTCCTCGTCGTCAGGACACATGAAGCAGCGGTGATTCGCGGCGTTGACGTCCCGGGACCGGTGCTCTGGCACGCCCCATGGTCTTCAAACGGTTGCTTCCAACGGGGCAGTTCCGTCAGTGAAAAGGAATCCTTGCCAAGGGGCCTGTGAAGAGGGAACTGGGAGAAGGGTTGGCTGACAGATTGATGATGGGTCTTGGGTTTACACTCCTCCTCCTCATCCTCCTCCATCGCCTTCCCTCTATATAACTCCTCCCTGTCGCACCCCGAGACGTGTCGGTAGGACGGGCGGGGCATTTACTCACCATTGCTGTAGGATCTTGGAGCTGAGAATTTGCAAGCGTTTCACGACAGGAGGGCGGCTGGTGTTCAAAACGTGGTTCTCGCCTAAGCGCAGCCTGCCCTGATCTGAAAATGTTGCAGCAGGAGGGCGGGTCGCTTTCAAACGATGTTTTCGCCCTGGATCCGCGCACATCGTCTTAAAACCTGCACTGACCCTGACAGATAGAGGGCGGCTCCTTATTGACATGTGGATGGGGTGCGGGTATTATTCAAAATGTGGCTCTCGCATTAGCGTTGCGCAAATCCGTCATGAAACATTGAAAGAGCTTCACGGACAGATGGGTGAATGTTTTCAACATGTGGTATTCGCCTCCGCGCCGCGCACACTCATCTTTCACATATTGCAAGGGCTTCACGGATGGAGGGCGGGTTGTTTTCGAAATGTGGCCCTCGCCTTAGCGTTGCACGCATCCGCTTTGACAAATGAAGGGGCTTCACTGGACAGGCGCGTTCCACTACTCGCAAATCAACTACTCACAAATTGCCTGGATCCGCCGCGGAGGATTTACGATATATTACATAGACAAAGACCTGTATATTTCGGACGTTTGCGAGTAGGCACTTTGCGAGTTGTGGAACGCGCTCGGCGATTCACGAATTGAAGGCACATCGTTTTCAAGATGTGGCTGGCAGTCGCACGAGCGCCGCGCGCATTCGTGCCAACAGCGCGCGAGAGAGCTTGACGCGGACGGGAGGCGGGCCGTGCTCAAACCTGCGGCTCCCCGCCCGAGCGCCGCGCAGCGCTCGTCTCGAAGACTGCAGGAAGTTTGCCGGGCGGAGCGCGGTTCCTTTCCCCACATCTGGCTCGAGGGGCGTGCCGCTCGGCCTCAGGGCAGCCTCCTCTCACAGGAGGTGGCGGCCCTGTGGTCGTGCAGCTCTCCTCCCAATCCTCTTCAACTCGAGCCCGCATTCTCCCTCCGCTGCTGGCTCGCCTCCTTGGTCGAACCAAGGAGTTGGAGGCGCTGACGTGGATGTCAAACAAAAATGCGTTGCGCACATTTGTCTTCAGAGTTTACAACAGTTTCAAGGATGCTCATGGCTACCGTACCAGGAATGATGCTTTGGCACGATGTCCGACGGTCAGGGCACAAAAGTCCCAGGAACGGCGTTGTAGTACGATTCATGATCGTCGAGGCCCAAACATAGCGGTGACTCGCGGCGCTGAGGTCCCACGACGGGCGTTCTGGCACAATTCGGGATCTTCAAACGCTTGTTTTCCAACGGGGCAGTTCCTTCAGAGAAAATGAGTCCTTGCAGGGGCCTCTGAAGGAGGAGCTTGGAGAAAGATTAATTAAAATTTTGTTGACGGGTGTTGGCTGGTCCGCCTACTCTTCATTCCCCTCCATCTCCTTCATCCCCCTCATATCCTCATCCTCCCCTCCATCTCCTCATCTCCGAGACGTGTCGGTAGGATGGGCCGGGCGCTTCGCCTGAGATTTTCTCACCATGTATGATCCGGGCGCTGAGCACTTGCAAGCACTTTACGAGTGGAGGGCGGGTGGTTTTCAAAATGCGGTTCTCGCATAAGCGCCGTGCACATTCGTCTTGAAATGTTGCAGCCGATTCACGGATTGAGGACGGGTCATTTTCAATATATGGTTTTCGCCTCGGCGCCGCGAGCATTCGTTTTTTGCAACAACTTCAAGGGTGGAGGGCTCCTTTTCAACATGTGAATGGCTTGCGCGTCCTTCTCAAACTGTGGTTGTCGCCGTAGCTCTCGCTTTAACGCCGTGCACATTCCTCTTAAAAAGTGTCGAACACTTTCACAGAGTCATGTTGTTACCATCTCACGAGCGGTGTTCAGGGACGATTATTTGTTGTCAGGGCGCTACAGCCACGTCGATTCGCGGAGTTGAAATCCCAGGAACGGCGTTCTAGCAATATGTATAGTCGTCAGGACGGAACGATAATTCACGTCTTTTGGCGGGATGGCGGATTCTCGGACGGTTGTCTTCCAACGGGGCCCTTCCCGAAGTGAAACCAAAACTCTTCTAGAGACCCACGAAGAGCAAACTTGGAGGGAGGGAGCATTGCGACATCGCTGGTGCGTCTTGGCTTCACTTTGGTCCTTCTCCTCCTCCCCCATCTCCTCCTCCTCCTCCTCCTCCTCCTCCTCCTCCTCCTCCTCCTCCTCTCAAAGATACAAGAATCACAACTCGCAGAGGGCAGATCCCGGGGAGGAAGGGGGAAGAGGAGGAGGAGGAGCGGGAGGGAACCGGGAGGCGGAGGAGACCAGCGCGCGGCCGTGGGGTCTGCCTGCGCCATCCAACCCCACCAGTCCCAGACCCCCGACGCCATTATTTTTTCCTGACGTCGGCCCCCAGAGGTCTCGACCCATTCCCTGGGACCGGCTTTTCATCCCGAGTCGTTTCTTGACGGTCCCGAGGTCCGGTGATGGCTCCCAAAGGCCGAAAATAGCGAAAAACCTCCCGTCGTGATTTTTTTCACAGCGCGAGGGGGTCTGGGGTGGGCGCACCCGCACTGGCCACGCCCCGGAGCCGGAAAAAGGCGCCCTCCTCGCGGTGGCCCCAGAACACGTTGCCGTTCACGAGCCTGTCCCCGGCGGCCACGCCGACCCTCACGTCGGGCAGCTCGTCCAAGGCCTCTCTCGCGGCTGCTCTCGGAGGGCAGCGCAGGCACGCAGAGCGGCTCGTGCAGGGCCGGTGCAAGGGGATCGAGGATGGTGAGGCTTCGGGTTGGGCCCCGCAGGTAGTCCTGGCTGGCCTCAACAGGCCCCCCCATGTAATCCAGGCCAGTGTCGAGGAGGGGGAGGAGGAGGAAGAGAGGAGGAGGAGGAGGAGGAGGAGGAGGAGGAGGAGGAGGAGGAGGAGGAGGAGGAGGAGGAGGAGGAGGAGGAGGGGCGGAGGAGGAGGAGGAGGAGGAGGCGGAGGAGGAGGCGGAGGCGGAGGCGGACCCTGGCGCCGCCTCTGGCGGCACCTCTGGGGCGCCTCGTGCCCCAGGGCGCAGGTGTTGAGACCGCCCTGGGCTACTCGGGGGGCCAGTGAAAACCAGCCTGGATCACCTGGCGGGGCTGTTCCGTGTGCAAGCCGAGCCCTCACCGAAGGTCGAGTTCCTGCTGATGTCATGTGCCCCTCGTCGTCGCGGCTTGATCCGCCTCTAGATTCCTGCCAGAGCGCACTGCAGGCCCAGTCGAGGGGTGATTGTAAAGAGGAGAGGGGGTGGGGAGGAGGAGGGAGGAGGAGGAGGAGGAGGGAGGAGGAGGAGGAGGAGGAGGAGGAGGAGGGAGGAGGAGGAGGAGGAGGAGGAGGAGGAGGAGGAGCAGGAGGAGCAGAGAGGCAGAGGAGCAGAAGGAGGAGGAGGCGAGGCGGAGGAGGAGGAGGGAGGAGGGAGGAGAAGGAAAAGGAGGAGAAGGAGGAGAAGGAGGAGAAGGAGGACGACGACGACGAGGAGGAAGAGGAGGACGAAGAGGAGGAGGAGGAGGAGGAGGAGGAGGAGGAGGAGGAGGAGGAGGAGGAGGAGGAGGAGGACCTCTGGCCCCTCCCAGAGTCCGCCCTCGCCGGTTTACCGGGGCGGATCCACTCGTGGCAACGACGACGACGACGACGACGGCGACGGCGACGGCAACGACTACGACCGTCCACGACGACCCCGCCGGCGATGACAGTCCACGTCGACGACGATGATGTCGACGACGACCTCGTCTCCAAGCGAGGGGATGCTCGCGCGCCGCGTCCGAGATGCGGATGTCCAGGTTGGCCGGGGCGATCTGCATCTTGGTTCTGCTCGATGCGGCACGAGCTGCGCAGCCTGTAGAAATCCGCGCCGTCACGCTCGCCGCCCTGGGCTGCCGCGCCACAAATCGACGAGGGACGACTCGCACGCTGTAGTGCCCGACGACCCGCGTCGAATTTGGTGCGTTCCTGCCGGGCGCGCCTAGCGTTCTCGCCTCTTCGGGCCCCCAGCGCCCGGCGGCTGCCCGAGAGGGTTCATCGGGGGGCCCCGACGGGGACTCCCCCCCCCCTGCTGGCGCAGGCTTCCCTCGAGCAGGCTGGGGGCAAACGGGGAGTGACAGTTGCCCCTGTGCGCCGAGTCTACAAGCTTGCCCTCCCACTATTCCCCCGCGCCTCCCGACTCTGCCCCCCCCCCCCCTCCTCCTCCTCCTCGCCCGCCCGCCCGTCGTCCGTTGCGCGCCGCGGCCCCGAATCCATGGCCCCGCGCCAGGGACAGAGCGCCCCCCGGGGCTCGGGCGGCGCCTGGGGAGACGAAGGAGAGGCGAGGGGAAGGGAAGAGAAGTAAAAAGGAGAACATGCGCCACGGAAGCCCTAAGCCCCGGCCCATGCCCCAGGCCTCCCGGCGGACAACTCCTGTCTCGGGGGGCGCAGGGTGGGGCGCGATGAAGTATGGTGCAAAGCCCCGTTGTCTAGGGTCCCTGACTACCTACCAGACCACCCCAACCCAACCCGAAGACCCGGATTTCGGGTTGGGGGGGGTAAGGGTTCCACATGTGTTTTTTTCGACGTTTCCCGACCCCCCCCCCCACTGGAAATGGAGGGCAAATTGAGGCCTTCGGGTTGGGTTGGGGTGGTTTGGTGGGCGGTGAGTTCCCCCATCCGACCCACTCGGCCTGACTGAGCAAGAGCTCGAGTTCTACGGGATCGGCGGGCGCCGTTGCAGAGCAGGGCCTGCGCCGGCCGCGGCGGGGCGGCGACGGCGACTGCCATCTCGGCGCGTCGCCGCCATCGCCGTCGCCGCCACCCCCCCCCGCCACCCCGCCCACTCCAAGGGTTGACCGGCGCCGCGGCGCGCGAAGTAGTGGGGCCAGGAGGGAGGAGGGAGAGGGGCGAAATAAGCGGGCGCGCTCGAAGCCCCTGGAAACTATGGGGAGCCAGCGTTCGCCGAAGGACCTTCGGCCAACGACGAGGCAGACCGACGAGGGCCGACGGCGAGCGACTTGTCGGAGCGTCGTCGCCGTCGCCGTCGCCCGCCCCCGCCGCCCGCCTCCCCCCCCGCCTTTATCGCCCCGCCCCGGGCAACGCCGCGTCGCGAGAGGCGGGGCGGGGCGGTGGCGCGGGGGGGCGGGGGCGGGATGGGAAGGGCAACGGGGCCCTCGGCTGCCAGGAAGCCAAGACGGCTCTTAGAAGCGCGCGCACGCGCCGCGCAACTGCGGCGCCCCAACCTATACGCCACAAGCAGGCGGCCATTGGAAACAAATCCTGCGCGCGACCGCCCTGGCAGGGGCACCGCTGCCTGCCCCCGCCAAGCGCAAGTACTTGCCGCGTGGTCACGCGCGCAGATGGCGGCCGCACGTGGTCGCGAATCACTGCTCCCAAGCACCCTGGGGCAGCGCGGCGTCGGCGCGTAGAATTGATGGACCCCCCCCCAGGAATGTTATGCACCACCCCGAAAGATACACCGCGTGGCTGCGTCGATTTTTCCGCGCGCAGCCGCGCGCCCAAATTGCGCTGCATACGCGACGCGTCATTCCCGCGAGATTTGACGCACCCTGCAACCCACCGCCGAAACAATAATCCGATCAACCCGCATGAAAGAAAACCAACCCCGGTGGATATGCATATGCGCGGGTCCCGGAACATCGCCACACACCAAATACTCGAAACAGTCTTCCAACTTCACTGGGCTCGCGGCGACGGCGCGGGGGCTAAATGGTCGCGCGCGACGCGCTGCCGCATGAAACCTGTCGCAGACTGATTCATCGCGGATCCACCATCGCCACCCCCCACCCCGCCACCCCAGCCAGTCACTTACAGCTCGAATTTGCCATCGAAGCGCGGGAGCGCGGGATGAGCCTATCCTTTCAAACCTGCTACTCAGCTGAATCTTGAAACCGTGAGAAACGCAACGCCTGATACAGGTGGGCGACCTGGGCATCGCAGAGGGCTCGGGGGCGAAGCGGGGCACTAGGAATTCTTCTGGGCAAACAGAACGGCGCGCTGAAAAGGTGGCCCCGCGACCCCGACGCCGCTGTCTGAATCCTCGGCTGCCCCGTCGGCGACGGCGGGCAAGGAGGGCGCCCCCGCGCCTCCCGGACGCCCCGGCGCCTGCCCCCCCTTGCCCGCGGGCGCCCCTGCACCCTGCGGCGGTTCTGCGCCTCGTCGGTTGGCCAGGCCGCTGCCTGGCTCGACGAGCTCCTCCCTGTGGTTGGCTAGACTGCTGCCTGGCCCGCGGGGGTCCTCCTCCTCCTGGCTGGCCAAGCCCCGGCCTGGCTCGAGGGGTTCCCTCTCTCGGCTTGCTGGGGCGCTGCCTGGCTCGAGAGGCTCCTCCGCGTGGCTGGCCAGACCGCTGCCTGGCGCGAGAAGGCCCTCCCTGTGGGGGGCCGGGCCCGCCACGTCCCGGTCCTCTCCGGCGAGGCTGGCCAGGCCGCCGCCTGGCTCGAGGGGCTCCTCCTCGTGGCTGGCCAAGCCATGGTGGCCGGCCAGGCCCTGGCCTGGCTCGAGGGGTTCCTCCGCGCCCTGGCCGGGCCGCTGCTGGGTTCCCAGGGCTCCTCCCAGTGGCTGGCCAGGCAGTTGCCTGGCTCACAGGGCCCCTCCTGGTGGTTCGCTGACAAATGCACCCCGGGCGACACATCGGCACGCAAAGTCATGAGGACGTCTTCGAAGTCATTCATCTTGGCCTCCAAAGACTCGAACGACGGATTGGGAAACGCCGATGCCGCCACAACTGGAACGTCCAACTCCACTTACGACGAGGAGTTCTCCACGGAGGTACCCTCCATGATCAATTCCTCCTTTAGCAGCTCGTCTGCACTGCATTCCCCTGTCGCCGCAGGTAGGCTGCCTGTGGGGGCGGTTGTGAGTGATGCCGCCCTGGCTTGCTGCCGCCGACGGTGCCGCGCCCGGTTGGCTCCGCCGCGCGCCTGAAGTAACGCATCAGTTCCTTCTCCAAACAGGGCGTGCTGAGACACCTTTCTTGCCGCCCTGCCTCCGCCCTGGACCCGGAGGTCCGAGGTCAAGTGGGACCTTGCAAATTGCTCGCGAACCTCGAACTCGTGGTACTGTGCCTGGGCGAGCGAAAGACGCACTGCGTCTGGCCAGGCCCTGGCCCTTTTGCCATGTTGAGCGGCCGCCTCCCCCAAAATGTTCATCATCTGGTCTGTGAGCCGCCTCGCGATACCGGCACCATTGAACTACACCTCACGGCCGCCGGGGAGTACAACACAGATCAACGCCCGCGTGGCCCCCGTCACAAAAAAAAATGCGCATGGCTTAGAGAATGCTGGTGCCGCGCCGAAGCGCCCAAGAGTGTGAAACTGGCCTGTGCAATATCTGGCAGGCTCTTGAGCCAAAATGGTTACGGTTTCCTCCTCCCGCTCCTCCTCCTCCTCCTCCTCCTCCTCCTCTTCCTCCTCCTTCTCCTCCTCCTCCTCAACCTCCCCCTTCCCCTCTCTTCCTTCTGGTCCTGTTCCTGCTCCTGCTCCTCCTCGTCCGACGTCGTGAGTTTTCACAACTAGAACCCTCAAGTTTTGACCCATTCTTAAAAACTGTGTTTTCTTCCTGGGTCGTTTGTTTGACGGTCGCGGGGCCCAGCCCCGTTGTGATCTGTTTCGCTGCGACACTAAATTTGGAAAAACAGAAACCGGCATAAGCATACATTGTCGAAACCCGCGCCGAATTCTTGGGTCGGCGTCAGCTTCCCCTGGCGCCTGGAGTGCGCGCGGAGTTCCGAAAACGTATTATTCCCAGCCTCGTGCGTTGGGTTCTCGATTTGAATACAATACCGTGTTCTGCACTAGTTTCCTCCTCCCGTCTCCGTTTCCTCCCCCTCCTGTTTCTTTGGAAGCTGCGAATTGCGCGACGGTCGCCGCTCTCGTGGGCTCCTGGGAGGCATGGCGGGGTGAGGTTGTACACACATCCAGACGACATCGGAGTGGACTTGCACACGCGTCTACATGAAACCTCGCCGTCCCCAAGGTGGTTGCGAGCCGAATAACAGTCGCCACCTTCGTGGGTTCTTGGGAGGTCCGGAAAAAGTGAGCTGTACGCGCACCCACACGAAACCTCGCGGTCCCCTGGGTGGCCGCGAACCGAACAGCGGTCCCCGTTCTCGTGGGCCCATGGGAAACACTGCGGGGTGGAGCTGTACGCGCATCCGGGCGAGACCCCGCTGTTCCGGGGGTGGCTGCGAACCGACCAGCACATCGCCACCTTCGTGGGCTCCCGGGAGGTCCAGCGGAGTGGCGTTGTACGCGCACCCAAACGAGACGTCGCGGCTCCCTGGGAGGCTGCGAACCGAACAACTGTCGCCACCTTCGTGGGCTCCTGGGAAGTCCACCAAAGTGGATTTGCACGCGCATCCAACCTCGGGGATGGACAGACCCCCCTTTAGTAAAACGTGGCCTAGTGAAAACGACCCGATGCCCAAACCTGGCGGGCGTAAGCCTGGAAAATAACGGCCGCGGCGCCCTCTCGAGAACCGAAAACGGACAATTCACTAATCGACGTGTAAGGCTATGTCGGGCGTGTCCCCCCACAGTGGGATTTTCGACGAAAAATCAAACATACCCCAAAGATACCCCAAAAAGGCAACAAACATACTCAATAACTAGTTTTACTATTTTGGGGGTATTTTAAATTGTTCGTCGGAAATCCCCCTGTAGGGGGACAGGCCCAACAACCAGAACCTCGCGGTTCCCTCGAGGGTTGCGAACTGCGCAACCGTCGCCACTTTCGCGGGGTTTCTGGGAGGTGCAGACGAGGCGAGGCGAATCACGTCGCGACTTCGCGGCTCGCTTTGGGGGGCTGCGGATTGCGCACATATATGAAGGGGCCCCAGGACACACAAATAAATAGACACACGTAAAAATATTCCCCATAATTTCCCATATTTTGGCGGGGTTTTGTCTTCCCGGTCTTCCCCCCCACTTCCCAGATTTTCCAATATTTTCTGGGAAATCGACGATTAATTGTGTCTGTGTGTTTCTTTCCCTCCTGAATATATCGTTACTTCCATGGGCGGTTGGGAGGCACGGCGGAGTGAAGGCAGCGCGGGTCATTTGAGACCTCGCGGCTGCTTTGGGGGCTGCGAACTGTGCAACTGTTGTAATTTTCGTGAGCTCTTGGGGGGCACGGCGGAGTGCAGTGCAGCGCAGATTATTCGAAACCTCGCGGGGGTTCGGGAGCTGCGAGCAGCGCACCTGCCGCCACTTTCGTGGGCGCTGGGGCGACACGGCAGAATGCACGGCAGCCCAGATAGTGTGAGACCTCGCAGCTCCGTCGGGTGCTTCGACCTGCACAACTGTCGCCACGTTCGTGGGCTCCTGGGTTGCACGGCAGAGCCGAGGGCAACGCAGCTTGAGACCTCGCGGTTCCGTTGTGGGCTGCGGGCTGCGTAGCTGTAGTTTCGTGGGCTCCTGGGAAGCACGGCGGAGTGCAGGGCTACGCGGAGCATTTCAGACCTCGCGGTTCCGTCGGAGGCTGCGACCTGCACAAAAGTCGCCGCTTCATGGGTTCCTGGAAGCACGGCGGAATGCAGGGCGGCTGCATGGCGCGTGCTCACATGACGCGTGGCGCCGTCGCGGCGTTTAGCGCGCCGCGCTGCTGCATCACAGAGCGCAGAGCACCAGCACCAGAACGTCACGTGGCGCCTGGCGAGTCCTCGGTGGCCCACTCCTGCGCAGGTGTGCGACGCGCGTTGCGAAGCATTTCAGAGTGCTGCCTATGTCGCGATGTTTTCTTTTGTATAGAGTGTTCATTACAGTAGTCGCCTCACGAGCAGAAAGGGTTAGGTACGTCTTCGGTAATTCGTGCAACATGTTATTTCTTGAGGGTGAGGGGTCCTAAGGGAAATCCCGGTACCCTCGGCGAGGCGCTGCTACCGGAACGCGTCCCGAGGCAGGAAAGCTTCCAGTAACTTCCGGCTGCGCCCGCAAACCTCGGACCTCGAGCCTCGAAGGGCCCTCTCGGCGGCGACGACAAGGGCGAACAGCCCAGGGGCGGAGGCGGAGATCACACGCATTCGCCCGGGAGCCGTTTCGAAGACATGGATCATCGGCGCACCTGAACACATGAAGTATTGCTCTCCCCTGGGCTATTCGCCCCTGTCCTCGCCTCTGGTCCTTCCCTTCGTGGGCGCCTTCACCAAAGAGTACTGCTGGTAGTGGCCGTGCACAAACTCCTGGTCCCTGCAGGGCGCGCTCCGCCGGAGCGATGGAGGCGCGGAGGCGCGCTGGAGGTGACGAGAGAGCACACAGTCAAACCCTACGATTAAGTCGGGCCTGCCCCCCGACAGGGGGATTTTGGACGAATAATAAAAAATAGTCAAACAATACTCCAAAAATATACGGAAATACTCGAAAAATCGTCCCCTGAGTATTTTTTGAATATTTTTGAATATTCCTCCTGTAGAGGGACGGGCGCGAGTCAACCTTACGAGGCAATTTCTGGGAGGTAATTGTCAGAGGGATTGCGGGTATCAAGCTCAATTAAAGGTCACTCAGCCAGAGTAGGCCCGACTCAGCCTAGGATAAATCCTGGTTGGGCCGGAGTGATCGCGGCATTATGCCAGATTCGCCAGGGTGATGCTAGATTTGGCTGGCCTTCGACCACGGATGTACAAGCGGCGATGCTGAATTTAAGCTTCCAGGAGTTGCATCTTAACGATTACATGTGCAATAGGACGGGGGAAGGGCGAGGATGCTAGGCCGCTATGGATAGGGGTACGAGCTACCAGAGCACAGAAAGGTTCCCGGTCGAGCGGGGCCCCCTTGCAACTGTTATTCCTGGCGGAAGTCTGGGCCCGAAGTTATAGCAGTTTCGTCTGGATGGCGTACGGTAGGTTCGTGCGGCGCTGGCGCGAGCAACGGTTTTTGACACCGCGTCGATCGTTCAGCCTTTGAACCGATCGCGGCAACGATCGTTCAAAGCTGAATTCCGTCGTGTCCAGTGGCGTCACCGTGTCCCTCGGTGTTTCCGCGTCGCAGAATTCATCCTTGAACGCCTTCGCCGGCGTCACCAGCGCGCCAACGCCGCATGAACCTGCCGTACATCGGCGGCGAGCCCTGGGGGGAAGTGAGAGGGGGCAGCCCTTCTCAACTCGGGGATGGACAGACTCCCCTTTAGTAAAACGTGGTTCAGTGAAAACGACCTCGGGCCCAAACCTGGCGGGCGCAAGCCTGGAAAATGACGGCCGCGGCGCCCTCTGGACAACCGAAAACGGACAATTCACCAATCGACGTGTAAGGCTATGTCGGGCGTGTCCCCCCCCCACAGGGGGATTTTCGACGAAAAATCAAACATACCCCAAAGATGCCCCAAAAAGGCAAAAAAATACCCCAAAACCAGTTTGACTATGTTGGGGGTATCTTTTATGGTTCGTCGAAAATCCCCCTGCAGGGGGACAGGCCCAACTGAAGTGTCAGGGGAGGAGGTCTGCCCACCCCCGACCGACAGCGCTGGCAGGGCCCCTCGGAAGCCCTCGGTGCCTCGGGCAGGGCGGCCCGGCGCCGCTCCGCGGAAGCCGCGCGGAGCTCCGAGCGCTCCCGTGCAGGTTTACGTCGGGCCTGTCTCCCTACGGGGCCGATTTGGGACGAGAAATTAAAACATACCCCAAGCATATATATATATATATATATATATATACAAAAAAGCAGAAAAACTGCCAAACAATGGTCCCCAGACTATGTTCTTGACTGTTCTTGCATATTCCCCCTGTAGGGGGGACAGGCCCGACTTACGTGTAGGTGGGCTTTCTCCGACGACCCCTGGGCCCTTCCCCCAGGACCAGGCCTTCCTCCGGAGCCATTCTCTGAAGGTCCCAAGGGGCCCGTGGACGGCGCCAGGAGGCGAAGCTTTGAGAAAAGCCTCAGGACCCATCTCCCTCGGGACCCGTTTCCTTCATGGCGACTCCTCCTCCTCCTCCTCCTCCTCCTCCTCCTCCTCCTCCTCTTCCTTCTCATCCTCAATCCCTTTCCTTGTTTGCCACCGTGCCCTTGGCACGGAAAGTGGGTTCCCCAAGGCTCACAGCTGTGCTGCCGCTGCTGCAGCCAAGGCTCTGTATTCTGAAGGGCCGGACTCCTGGAGCTCTGGGCCGTCCCGGGGTCGTCGGGGATGCCCCCCTTGAGTTCTGAGGTGCTTCCCGCCGGTCTCCCTTGCCTCCTTGGAGGAGGAGGAGGAGGAGGAGGAGGAGGAGGAGGAGGAGGAGGAGGAGGAGGAGGGGGAGGAGGAGGAGGAGGAGGAGGAGGAGGAGGAGTTCCTTGCCTGAGGACAACCCAAGAGGGTCCAAGAGCGCCCTGGGAGGGCCCCAGAAGGCCCCAAGGCTGCCTGCTCACGATGCCCTCCGGACAGCCCAAGGAGCCTCCAAGAAGCCCCAAGAGGGCTCCAAGAGGAGGCTTACATCACACATGTTCCTTGGGATGTCGAAAGGGCCTCTTCGGGCTTCCAACGCTCCAGGAGGCCTGGAAGGGGGCCCAAGACAGGCCGAGAGACCCCAAGAAAGACCCAAGAGGACCCTAAGAGGGCCGCAGGAGGGAAAACTCAAACTGACATGTCGCGCTTTCTGCCCCAAGACGGCCCCCGAGACCGCCAACAGGCTCCGAAGGGCCCCCCCAGAAGTAAGTCGGGCCTGTCACTCTACAGGAGGAATACTCAGAAATAGACAGAAAATACTCTGGGACGATTTGTTGCATTTTTTTCACTATTTAGTGGCATTCGTGGTGCGTATTTTTAATTTTTCCTCCGAAATCGCCTGTATGGGGACATGCCCGACCTAACCCTAGAAGCCTCTGGAGGCCCCAAAGAAGCCCAAATCGGGGCCCATGAGGCCCCGAGAGGCTCCAAGGCACCCCCATATCCGCCTCCAAGAGGCTTCCGGGAGGCATCCCACGACGAGATCCCCGCAAGCATCCAATGAGCCTCTGAGCTACCACCTGTGGCGGGACGGGCCGAAGGCCATTGAATAAATTCGCCGGCCCAGCGGGCCAGCGTGCTGCCAAAATCTCCAGTAAGAGATTCAGGATACTTCTAAATCAATTCTCGCGCGCGGGGCGGCCCCTGGGGGCCCCTGGACGAAAAGAACCCCGGCCGGGTCGGGGCCAGGGATGCCAGAACTCCTGGGCGCGGCCCTCTGTGCTGTCAGAGCGGCCCAGGAGCGCTCCCAGGAGGCGCCCAGCAGGTAGCCCCCCGCAGCTTCAGGCCAAGGGCGCGCCAAGATGGCCATATATTATTGCCAAACGGTCCCAAAGGCGCCCAAGACGGCCCCGGAGAGCTCCAAGAGGACCCCGGGAGGGCCCCAAGTGGCAATAATCGCTGATCTGCTTGAGCTGTTGAAAGATTTGGGCGTTACTTTGCCTTCTCAGGCTTCTGTCTGACCGCCATGTGGGCAGCCAAGATCGCCCCAAGTCCGCCCAGGACGCTCGCAAGACAACCCCCAAGATTGCCCCAATACCGCCCAGAACGATCCCATGACAGCCCCAAGACACAACCCAGGTCCCCGAGACGGCCCCGCGAGGGGGAAGCCGAACTCGCATGCGGAGCCCTCCCCGAGAGATGGCCGCCCTTCAGCAGTTCCCAAGCGATCCCTCCTCGAAGAAGGACCCCGAGAGAACCCCAAGAGGAACGAATATTTGATGTTGCGTTAGTTTTGGGAAGACTTTGGCGTTCCACCTTTTCGGACTTCTCTGACCACCCATGACAGCCAATGAGGCCGCCAAGATCGCCCCAAGTCCGCCCAGAACGCCCGCAAAACAGCCCCAAGACGTCACACGAGAACCCAAGACGGCCCTAGAGGCCTCTGAAAGCTCCCGAGGTCCTGGAAGGCCCCACGAGGGGGAATGCAAACTAACATGTCGAGCCCTCCTCGAACGATGGCCTTGAGACTGCTTCCAGGCGGTCCCAGAGGCGCCCAAACGGCCCCAAGAGCCCCAAGAGGACCCGAAGTGGGCCCCGACAGGCGAAAATCATGTGTTTGAAAGATGTTGGCGTCACTGTGTTCTCTGGCTTCTGACCGCCCAGGATAATCAAGGAGACCGCCAAGATCGCCCGGAGTCCGCCCAGAATGCTCCTAAGACAGCCACAGAAGGTCCCAAGAGAGCCCAAAGACAACCCATAAGGACTCTCAAGAGGGCTCCGAGGTGCCCGGGAAAGATGCCCGCTGAGATCGCCGACAAGCGCCCAAGAAGCCCGAGAGAAACTCCCGGAAACCTAAGAAACTGAAACAAATCGATAAGCAAGCATATGTGAACCGTATCCCTTCAGGTCAGATTTCTGGAGAAGGGGGTCCATGAATTCAAATCTGAAGGATTTCTGCAGCCCAGTAAACCCCAGCGAGGGCGCCCGATCTCCTAGCGTCAATTGGACCTGTACACTGGGCACGCACCTCCTCCCTCTCCTCCTCCCCCTCCCACCCTCCTCCTCCTCCTCCTCCTCCTCCTCCTCCTCCTCCTCCTCCTCCTCCTCTCCTCCTCCTCCTCCTCCTCCTCCTCCTCCTCCTCCTCCTCCTCATCCTCCTCCTCCTGCTCCTGCTCCTGCTCCTGCCCTGCTCCTGCTCCTGCCTGCTCCTGCTGCCTCCTGCTCCTGCTCCTGCTCCTCTCCGCCTCCTCCTCCTCCTCCTCCTCCTCCTCCTCCTCCTCCTCCTCCTCCTCCTCCTCCTCCTCCTCCTCCTCCCCCTCCCCCTCCCCCTCCCCTCCCCTCCCCCTCCCCCTCCCCTCCCCCTCCCCCTCCCCCTCCCCCTCCCCCTCCCCCTCCCCCTCCCCCTCCTCCTCCCTCCCCCTCCCCCTCCTCCTCCTCCCCCTCCCCCTCCTCCTCCTCCTCCTCCTCCTCCTCTCCTCCTCCTCCTCCTCCTCCTCCTCCTCCTCCTCTCTCCTCCTCCTCCTCCTCCTCCCTCCTCCTCCTCCTCCTCCTCCTCCTCCTCCTCCTCCTCTCCTCCTCCTCCTCACTCCTCCCTCCTCCCTCCCTCCTTCCTCCCTCCTCCCTCCTCCCTCCTCTCCTCCCTCCTCCCTCCTCCCTCCTCCCTCCTCAACTCTGGGTGGTTGGTTGGGGCAGTTATAGTCTCGCCGCCAAACTGGGCGGCCATATCCGCCACAATGTTCAAGGTACGAGTAGGCGTCTCCTGAAGTCCTTTGAACTCTCAGTGCCCAAGACGGGACCACCGGATCTACACACATGACCAAACAACGATGCAATATGC